CATATTTCTCGGCATCATAATTGAAATAAATTATGGTCGCTTTTTTGACTTTAGTTTTTATTCTCATTCTAAAATGAATGACGTTTATCTGATTTGCAGCCAATTATAAGTGGACATGTTGCACCAGACTCTAGTCAACTTAATCCATCCTGCGGAGATGAAGCCAACTTGATCATGGGTGGATTAATTTTATGTACTGCGGGATTACTTGGTTGTAATATTGCATATCTAGCTTAGAGTATTATTTATTTAGCATTGATGTCACTCAAAGATACTGGCCATGATTGTTATCTCACACATACTATCTCGCGCACAGGGGTAAACCAATCTCGCCAGTTTTGGTATCAGCGGAGAATGCTGCCTCATAGAAACGAGTGGGAGAGAGTCCTCTCCTCCTCAGGTTTTGAAATAAATTTCAGTAGAAATTCACCAGCTTTTCTCTGTAAAACGGATAAGTAAGTTTGTGCTATAGAGTCTATCAGGTCTGGGCCTTTTTTTTGTCTGGTAGGCATTTATACCGATTCTATTTCAGCAGCTCATTACGGTCCATTTTTTAGGAAATCATCTTCTTACTGGTTCGTCTTAGGAGGGTATATGTGGTCTCAAGGAATTTATTTATCATCTTCCCAGGTTTTCCTAGTTTGTGTCATAGAGTGTTGTAGTAGTTTCTTTGAGGTTATTTTTCTTTCCTGGGAGTCAGTGGTAACATCCTCTTGTTTATTTCTGTTTAATTTGAATCTTCCTCTTTTCCTACTGTAGTCTAGCTAGTGGCGCCTATCTATCTTATTTGATTTTTTCAAATACCCGAACTCCTGGATTTTATTATTTTGAATGACTTCTCATGTCTCAATTTCATTTGGTTGCAGCCTCTGATATTTTTATTCTGTCTTCTGCTACCTTTGGAGTTAATTTGTTTTTGCCTCTCCTAATTTCAGGCATGAATGTTAGATCGTTAATTGTGAGATCTTTCTAGCTTTTTGATGCAGGCATTTAGTGCTATGAATTTC